TGTTTCTCTTTCTCTTTTTCACGTTCAACCAAAATACTCCGGTTGTTGATGACGTTTTGGTTGAGGGCAGTGTGAGGTGTGGGGCGGGGGGGGGGGAGCACAGTTGACGGCGCCTGGCAGAGAGAGATACGTTCGCTTTGACAAGTCGTGTATCAATTTTTTTATTTTTTATTTATTTTTTTTTATTTTCATAGTTTGGAGGGAGGGAGGGAGGGGAGGCGGCTTGGTCTGCTCCCAACACATCGAGGTGGAAGAGGATCAGCCTAACCTAACCTAGCCTAACCTAACCCAAACTATCCTAACCTAGCCTGGCATAACCCAAACTAACGTAACCTAACCTAGCTTTTACTAACATAAGGTAACCTAACTTAACCATAATCTCCCCAGGTATCGTTAGGACACATAGTAATTATGAGGTGAAATAAGCTGGGGTGTCTAATGTTCATATCGTCATCATGTTGTTGTTGTTGTGTCGTGCATGAGGTGTTTGTTTACATTATAGCCGTGATCACAGAAGTCCGCACCATGAACACTTTGAAGATGTGTGTGTGTGTGTGTGTGTGTGTGTGTGATTAAAGACACTATGAACGTCCCCTGTACACACACACACACACACACACACAAAGCACCGTGCCCGAGATATGAAAACCCAACTCAGGACTCATTACTTATTGTATTGCTGTAAAAGTCAGTGAAAAACGTATATAATATGAAGTCCTACAAAATGACTTGATTGTATAAGTATAAACCCGGACCGTACCTAACCTACTTTAATGTATTACTCCGACTTACGTAAGTTACTCCTTTTAATATCCGTTTTCTATACCACAGTCTGCTGGGGAACTATAAAAATAGGGGATTGTCTTATTATGATCGCCTTTTAAACCCAGAAAAATGACCTAAAAACCGAAGCAAATGCTATTATTGGGAAGAAAATAAATCTTATCAAACAATGCTGTATAACACCGATAGTTGAAGTAGAAAAGACGTGTAAACAATTATAAACAACGAAACATTTCACCAACACCGTTCGTGTAGTACTTTAAAATGTAGTACTTTAAAATACGTACACCGCTTAGTCTCATCGTCACAGTTCGCTCATATCACGCATGAAATGTTACCTCACGCGGGAAATTTTTTTTTTACACAAACGAAATTTCTGAGTCGTGTGGAATATTGAACCCAAGCTCCCGAATAACAGCATCGAAATGGCCCTACGTGTTTGTTGAAGATAGTTTGTTTTGGGGTTTTAATGTGTTTTCTGTAAAAGCAAACTGGAACGTGATATATAGGGAAATATTTGGGCAAGAGTGAGGTATATAGGGCAGTATTTTGGGCAAGAGTGAGGTATATAGGGAAGTATTTGGGCAAGAGTGATATATAGGGAAATATCTTGGGCAAGAGTGAGGTATATAGGGCAGTATTTTGGGCAAGAGTGAGGTATATAGGGAAGTATTTGGGCAAGAGTGATATATAGGGAAATATCTTGGGCAAGAGTGAGGTATATAGGGAAGTATTTGGGCAAGAGTGAGGTATATAGGGAAGTATCTTGGGCAAGAGTGATATATAGGGAAGTATTTGGGCAAGAGTGATATATAGGGAAATAAAGAGTGAGGTATATAGGGCAGTATTTTGGGCAAGAGTGAGGTATATAGGGAAGTATTTGGGCAAGAGTGATATATAGGGAAATATAAGAGTGAGGGCAAGAGTGAGGTATATTGGGCAAGAGTGATATATAGGGAAATATAAGAGTGAGGTATATAGGGAAGTGATGGGCAAGTGAGGTATATAGGGAAGTATTTGGGCAAGAGTGATATATAGGAAATATTTGGGTAAGAGTGATATATATAGGAAGTATTTGGGCAAGAGTGATATATAGGAAATATTTGGGCATATAGGGAAATATCTTGGGCAAGAGTGAGGTATATAGGAAATATTGGGCAAGAGTGAGGTATAGGGGAAGTATTTGGGCAAGATGATATATATAGGGAAATATTTGGGTAAGAGGAATATAGGGAAGTATTTGGGCAAGAGTGATATCTAGGGAAATATTTGGGTAAGAGTGAGGTATATAGGGAAATATTTGGGCAAGAGTGAGGTATATAGGGAAGTATTTGGGCAAGATGATATATATAGGGAAATATTTGGGTAAGAGTGAGGTATATAGGGCAGTATTTTGGGCAAGAGTGAGGTATATAGGGAAGTATTTGGGCAAGAACGTGATAATGATAATAATAATAATAGTAATAATAATAATAATCTTCAGGTGAAATAAGGTGGGGTGTCTAATCTTCAGGTGATTCAGATTATATTACAGTTGATATTAGGTGACAAGATTTACCTGAACATATTGTATTGATTTCATGCTGGTGTGTGGACTGGCTGTTGATACTTAAAAGTTGTTTGATTGATTGTTACATTGATTGGTAATTGGTGCAGTGAATTGTTGATTGGGTTATTGATTGAGGTAATTATTTATTTATTTATTTGTTTATTTATTTATTCAATCACTCGCGTCAACATGTACAGTATAGACATCCTTCACCTTACCTTCCTCTCCTCTCCTTAATCCCTCACCCCTAACCCTTCTTTCCTCCCTATCCTACCTCACCCTCCTCACCTTTCACCCTCCTTGCCTCTCATCCCTCACCTCTCCATCTCCCTGACCTTCATCACTCCTCCCCCTCCCCTTCTTCCCTCACCTCCCATTACCACCCTCACCCCCATCTCCTCATCTCCCTTACACCCTCACCTCCATTCATCCCCCACTCCATCTCCTCACCTCCCTTACACCCTTACCTCCCTTTATCACCCTCACCCACCCCCCATCCCTCACCTCCCCTTACCTCCGTCCCTCCCTTCATTGACTACCTCACGAATCAGGACAGACTGACAAACAGGCAACATCATCTGGGTGATTTCCCTAGACATCCGAGACGCCATAAGTTGCAGCGAGTAATGCAGAAAGTGTCAAGTGACCTCGTCAGTAATGATATGCACGTGCACTGAGTGTTCTTTGTTGATCAGTTCTGGCTGAGGACGTGAATGACACCCACCCACCCACCCACCCAGTCAACCAGCCAGCCAGTGACTCACCCAGCTAGTTAACCACCCGCCCACCCAGCCAGTCATTCACCCATTTACCCAGTTAGTCACTCTCCCAGCCAGTCAACCACTCAGTCAGTCACTCACCCATTTACCCAGCCAGTCACTCACCCATCTGCCCAGCTAGTCAACCACTCACCTAGTAAACCACCCACCCAGCCAGTCACTCACCCAGCCACCCAGCTAGTCAACCACTCACCCAATAAACCACCCACCCACCCAGTCACTCACCCATCTGCCCAGCTAGTCAACCACTCACCTAGTAAACCACCCTCTCCTCCCAGTCACTCACCCACCCATTAAGTCAGTCACTCGGCCAGTTATCCAGTCAGCCAAACCTATGTAATAGTGTTCGGATCACCTGATAATTAGCCCCTCCAGATTCTTTCACCTTCAGATTAACCTCTATAACGCTAACCTAACCTAACCACTATAACGCTAACCTAACCTAACAAAAGGCTAATGCTAACTTAACCTAATCTAACGTAACCTAACCTAACACTTCTCACTTAAGGGGTGGGATTTTTCAGATTCCAATTAGAGGACTGGAGGGGGGCTAGTTTCTTGGGCACCCCTCTATACCTGTAGATTGCAGCGGCCAACAGGGAAACATACAAGGTCAACATCCCCCCCTCCCCCTTTCCCCCCTCCCGCAGCAGTATGTCGGGTCGTGGTGGGGGTGATGATTGTTGTTGTGGGGTCCTCTCTCTCTCTCTCTATCTATCTATCTATCTATATCTATCTATCTCTTCCCTGACTCCAACATATGGGGAGCCTCACGCCTGTGGAACTTTTACTTCCCCTGTGGCTGGTGTGCTGTCTGGCATGTGTGTGTGTGTGTGTGTGTGTGTGTGTGAAGGGAATCATTAGGTTTGTATTCATACGGGAATGTTCAGTTCAACATAGGGTAACAAAAACATGTTTAAATCTGTACAACAAGTTGACTCACCTAAGTTTATTTTGGTTAGATTAAGTTAAATGTCATTAAATCGTGTTTATTTTGAGTTGGATTGTGCTGACTTGGGACAGATTAATGACTGATTACTTGTGATCTTAAGATAAGGCTTCGTACAGTGTGTTTTTTATTTGGTATAATTATGAGTAAATGTCGTTTTATTTAATGTACCGGTCTTATTGTTTTATTTAAGTGATGGGATATGTTAAATAGGTGAGGTTGGAGGAAGGGTCAATCACGCCTAGCCAGAGCTGTGATCCTCCCCTTCCAGCAGCCAAAGACCAGAGGCTGTTATCTCACCAGCGTCGTGTCACCACTATAGTAGGAAATATTGTTGATTTTGATTTACCAAGCTATGCAGTTCAAGATTACGCTCCCGTTACATAACCAGCGGTTTCTAGGTCAGCGCCTGATGTTACATTGAAGCGCTTTACTTTCAGTTTTACTGCGTCGACGAGCATCGTTTCTAAAATGTTGAGCGTGTCTGGATGAGTTGATAGCCGGTGTTAAGCTGTTTTAAAGCGTCCCCGCATGAAGTTTCCGCCAAGGCGTAATTTAATGAAGCCAGGAAGACTGGGTGTGGACGCGTATGGGAGGGAAGGGTTGCACTACACCCACTTACGGAGTGCGGCAGACATGTGCGTACAGCAGATATGTGTGTCCGTCACCCAGCGTGTCATTCACATAGTTATCAACTACATTATATCCACACTCATTTAATTAAAACATCCCCGAGATGTTTCCATGTTGGGTATATTCTCTCGCTACATGAACTCACAACGCTGAATATTTCATTATATTAGAGGGAGATAAACGTGCAAGGTGGAGAGATAAAAGTTAAGTTAGGGTGTGAGGTTCGCGGCCGCCGACAACTGAGCGCAAGACTGGGTTACTGGGAGAGAAAGCTCTGGCTGGCGTGAGAGACTTAGTGTGCGATAGACCACGGTGCGGGAGGTATCTCGTGTACCCGTCCCCGGCGCTCTGTGTTGTATTAGCGCTTCCACCACACTGAGTTCGAGTATGATTCACGGAGAATAACCTCATTTTTGGTGTATAGAAAGAAATTATCTAAGTGTCGCAAGTGAATTTGCCGAGGATCGGTAGAAATTAGTGAGATTTGAGGCAGTTTTGCCTTAGTGTTGGCTGGCTCGCGACTGGACCACCCGTCCGAATACTTCAATGTGGGCTCTTGGCAGCGATTTCGGATTCAATTTTTAGTGTCCACTTGTGTATATTACGGTGAATTTTAGTGTATTATTGTTAAGCAAAGAACATAATAACCAATTTAATAGTGGGAACATAAACCCATACCGGTTTTAAAGCAGAATTGAGGAGGAGAAGGTACTTTTGACGGTGTCTGATTCCGTCCCCTGTTATCCCCGGCACGAAGTGGGTCTAGCATCGGCGACGACTTCGTCTTATACCTCCGACGACAGGTGAGATTTAACCATGGTTGTGTTCTTGTGTCATTTCACAACGTTACTCGGCACTGGCACTCTGAGGGGTTTATGTTGCCCTGTTAAGTGCCCGGCCTTGTTGCTATGTACACATACTACATGGGTGGCGCTCACTACATCTACACACCCAAGGCTTAAATAACACCTAGAGAAATTTAAGTCTAGGGATACATTTTATTTTTTATTCACCTTTTTCATTAACGTGGGGTTGTGTCATTAATGTCCGTTTGCAGACACCTCCTCCTCTCCCCTTCTTTGCATGTGTTGACACAAACTGTAACTTAATCCCAACAGGAATATTATATTAATGATGTTTCTCGTCGGTCGATTTAAATGACAACAGAAGGAAGAGAAATTGCCGGATTTTTAAAGTAGAGTGTTTGAGTGGAAGGTAGACGTCATGTAACTGTGGTAGCCCCGCCGGCACTGTGAGGCGGCCTAAGGTCATCCTCCTGCCCTACCAGACAAGAGGATCAGGTCACGTGACAAATGAAACTATGTTAATAATTCACCGGCAGCAGGATCCTACACCCCTGACCCCCCCTGTGCCACGAGGGGTGTAAACATCTCCGTAGTGCCACTTACCTCATTATTATTTGTTGCAGATTATTATTGTTCTCGTTGTTCTTGATAAATGTAATATATTTTGTAGTTTATTTACCACAACATGTTAATATGTTTGATATATTGCATGTAGCTAAAGGCAATTAAACCTTTGTAGATAATATATATATATTCTTTGTTATTATTTTATGTTCTCAAAAAGGATTAGTTAATTTTTCAAGGTTGAGACAGTAACACTGAGCATTACGATAATTATTTTGATTATAACGAATGTAATGCAGACAGTGAGGATCTGGGCAGTAGTTGGTTGTTAGTAATTATGTTCAGGGCAGTTAAGTGGTTGTTACGCTTGTTAGGCTGTTACAGTGTTATTGTTCGCGGCCTTCAACTTGTTTTCTTTGCTGGAATAATATCTGATGGCTTCGGCTTAGATTCAGCTCTCGGGAGAGTTTTGTGGTGGTCGTACAAATTAAAATTTTGTTTCAGTTTTTTAGTTACCAGTGTGGAATTTATCGAGATCTTTGATAACGTTACATATGTTAGCGGTTTATATTTTTCACCTAAATCGATTCATTATTGATTGTAATGGTTATTTGTATAGTTATGGTTGATGAGAAAGGTTGTAGTCTGTAAACGAATCGATAGTTATTATATATTTATGAAAGTAATATGGCAGCACAATGCAGCGCTAGTGAGAACAGTGAACTTTAGCGCAGGGACTCCGCTAGTCAGGCCAGGGTGGGCATCCTGTGAACTCACGTCACATTGTCTAGACTTACTGTAGTTCAATGACACTAATCCAGGTAGGACAGATGTTTCTGTCAAGGTTACATTATATTGAATTATTATTTTTATTATGTGTGTGACGGTACTTTTATTTTTAAAACTTCGTATTGAGATTAATTACGTGTAATCATTAGGGTTAAAAATTGCTTGCAGACATCTTGCAAATATGCGCGGATCAACTTTGCGCAGTTCATCTGCGCAGGCTTGCACATGCGCGCCACAACTTACCCCTCGCCGCTCATGCAGGCACTGATGGTAGGGATATTCATCACGCCTGGGCCTGCTTGTCATTCAGACTTTTTGCTGGGAAGTCTACTAGTCTGTCAGGATTGCCCTCAGCATACCAAATGGACCTATTGCGTGTAGGCTCTGGTACCGCTCTGTGTAGGTGCCCGCTTCTAGGCTACATGTACTGTGTTATTCTTACCCATTACTAAATCTCCTACCGTACTTCATTCTATTCTCCTTGTTTTCTGAGACGGTAAATAAAGGAATTTTGTCAACGAATTGGTAAAACTATTTGGGAATCATATTTGATTTCCATATTTACCGTAAATTAAAGGTTACGATGTCCCGATATTCAAAACAAAGAACTAAGTTTTCTTGGAGAGCTAGTGTTAGGGATACTATTTACTGTTCAGACTTTATTTCAAAGTTATTCTGAATAACGTTGACGGTAGATGTTTCGACATATATTTAAGGAATTTCACTGTGTAGTTAGTTGGAAATGAGATTAATTTTGAATTATTAGGTAATTATAGGCTGTTTACTAATTTTTAACTATTAAATCACTAGGCTAATGATTTTCTAGTACTTGTGCGCAAAGGATAGCTCAGACTAATTTCAATAAAATACAAAATAAAAATAATTGCTGGGTTAAAAACAATAAGAAAAGACGAGAGTACAATTAGATTAACTCGAACTCGCTGGGAAGGTTCAAATATATAGGTTGGAAAATATAGATAAAGTGATAAGGGTTGGGTGTAAACAAGGCCTACACTATGGCCCAATAGGCTTAGGCTACTGCAGTTTCCATCATACTTATGTCGTTATCACCAGGTTATATAATGTAACTACCCGAATAAAATATATATCTACATTATTTTAGGTAACGCATCTTTTACCTTGTTACGTGTACTGTATATTAGAGGTATGTGTAGCTGTTGGTACGTGGTGTGTACTTAATTCTCTCTCTCTCTCTCTCTCTCTCTCCCCCTCCGTGGATAAGTTAGGCTAATATGTTGCCAATATTTATACAGTTTCACGGACGACAAGTTGATTAGCTACTCGTTATTGTTTTAATTACTAAGCATCTCATTATTTTCACGTCTGTTTCTCCTGCCTGTCGAGATTATCGTTATCCGTGGGTCATATTACTCTTATTTATATATAAAAATAAGATGTTAAGGAACTAGTTATCGTAAAGGGACGACTCTCTGCCTTAGAACACGATATGTGGTTTATTACTTTTGGTTTATAATGTTTTTAGAGTTTATTTCTTTATCGTATTATTTATATTTTCTTCGTGTTATCTGCAGTTTATTTTTTGTGTTTTAGGCTTTCCTCGGTAAATGTTTGTATACGTGTGTGTATGTATATATGCATGTTTGTTTCTTTCTTTATTTAATAAATTCAAAAGTAAATTAGTATTATTAAGGCTTATAGACATATCTGGTATAGGTCTATATTTTATTAAAGTTTTAATATATATTATTTAACCCTCAGCCGATTAATGAAAGAAGGGGGTTTTATAATATTGCTATCTGTCTGTCTGTCTGTCTGTATCTGTCTATCTGTCTGTATATGTCTTTATCACCAGCATCCCGTTTTAGTTTGGTTTGAGCTAACGGCAAAACAGAAAAATACCAAGATCCAATATATTTATTTTTGGTGTATATTTAAGGTTAGATAAATACAATTGGTGTTATATAAATAATGACGACCGGTTGAGGAATATCGGCGAGGAATATATTTATTTACCGATATTATTTTTTTCATGTTAATTTCCCGATATTTTCTGTGTTAAATGACTGGGGTTTTTTTCACATTTCATTGGTTGTTTTAATGTGTTTTTTTTTTAGTTATTGCACGTACGTCGTCACTAATAATACTGTGAGTCTTTAGACGTTTTAGAGTTTAGTGTCCGTTGGGAGGTTTATTTTGGTGTCCTTACGTGGTTGTCTTGTGTCCGTAGCTGCTTTTGTTTAGTATCCGTAAGTGTACGTAGCTGCTTGTGTTTAGTGTCCGTAAGTGCTTGTGTTTAGTGTCCGTAAGTGCTTGTGTTTAGTGTCCGTAAGTGCTTGTGTTTAGTGTCCGTAAGTGCTTGTGTTTAGTGTCCGTAAGTGCTTGTGTTTAGTGTCCGTAAGTGCTTGTGTTTAGTGTCCGTAAGTGCTTGTGTTTAGTGTCCGTAAGTGCCAAACTTTTTATGACTCCAATATCTTGGGGTTTTTTTATGCGCCACTATTTTTTTTATATCTTTGGCTCCAAATTTTGTTTCCAGACGCCAATATTTCGTGTTTTCGGCTTTCAGTGTTTAGTTTCGTAACTCGCCAATATATTGTGATCTTAAGCGCCAATATATTGCGATCTTAGGCGGCAATATTTTGCTCCATGACTATTTCGTATATTTCATGACATTGTTCCGTATATTTCATGACGTTGTTCCGTATATTTCATGACATTGTTCCGTACATTTCATGACGTTGTTCCGTATATTTCATGACATTGTTCCGTACATTTCATGACGTTGTTCCGTACATTTCATGACATTGTTGTTGATTACTGTTGTGTGTTTGTCGGGGACATTTTGTGTTTGTTTGGATATCCACTAATGATCGTTTATTTACCTGGGCAACACCTGAATTATTCCATTAAGTATATAAACAATAATAACAATAAAAGTAATAATAATAATATAGTAAGAGGAGTAAAATAGTATTAATAATAATGTTAATGTAAGTAAAGATATTGATGATAATAATAATAATCACTTTATTTACGAATAGGCTATTACAGACTAATGTTAAACAGATACAGTCGAACGTCGGGATTTTTTTTTTTGGGGGGGGGTAGGAGGGGGAGGTGACGCTAGGTTCGGTTAGGTACCTGTAGGTTAGCGTTAGTGGAACATCTTTAGGAGACATAAGCTGGGGTGGAGATTCTTCAGATGATCATTCAATTAAAATTAAAATGTTAAAAATGATAGTAATTGTGATTTAGCATTAATGAAAGTAACCTGCTGCTGCTATTATTACAAGTAATTTTAATTATAGTGATGATAAATAATAATTAAAAATTGCTGATAATGAAATAGTCCCGTTGATTAAATATTTATATGACAATTAGCCAGTAAGAGTGGATTGTGTTTAACTGATCGAAGATTATAATTATGAAATAGACCTCGATTGTATCATGAATAGATACCGTAGTAATATATAGAATGGGCATACTGGTACCGCATATGGATAGACTTTGTAGGTATGTAAGATAGATAGTGTAGGTATATGTGGAATAGACCTCGTGATATATATATATATATACCGGTAATACGACATATATAATCACACCTCGTCGTTGGCTATATAATCTCGTAGCGGGATTCTTAAATAACCTCAACGCCCGGCTGACTG